CAATCATAGCCTGTTCCCACCTCTTTTGGTGCTAGCTTGTCTCATCATGTCTAGAGACCTCCCTTGAGAGAAGGAGGTGCCCCCAGGAGTGTTTGGGGGCTTGTTTCTCTGAGCTTCCCCCTGAGGAATAGAGGGGAAACCCATCAGGAGGTCTCCAAGACTCAGACCAAAGGTGGTCTTGCTGTTTGTTCAGTGAGCGACGAGGTGAACCACAGAGGAACATGAAGAGGACATGGGCTGCACTATGTGGTAAGAGAAGGGGATTATTGATGGTTTCGAGGCAGGGAACAGACATTTGGAGGCAGTTTTGGGGGGGTGGGGGGTCCTCTGCTGCATCCCATCTCCTGGCTGGATTTCTAACATTGCCCCATTTCCGATTCAAGCCCCAGAGGGCTTAAGGTGCAACTGGTCTGCAATGGGGTTGCCAGTCACGGCCCCAGGATGAGGAGCGGAGCAGAGACCTAGCAGCAAACAAACAGAGCGCAATGCTCCTGCTCCATCCCAGGGCCTGGCCAAGCCGCGGGCAGGAGAGTGGGTCCCCCACTGAGCAGCCAGGCTTTAGGGGACCGGAGAGCAAATGGTGTGAGGAACTTATCCGATGCTGGGCAGAAGTTGCAGAAACCACTTGAATACTGGCCAGGTTTCTCCCGTTGCCATCAAGAGTCCTCGGTGGATCCGGGCAGAGACAAGGGAGCCAGAAGTAAAACTACTGAGTGAATCAGCCAAGTGAACTGGCTAAAATGGGAGATGCCCTTTGAACCACAGCAAGCGCAAGCTGAGGCTTGAGGAATGCGCCCTCCTTTCACCCAGAAGATGCCTGGCACTGGTGGCCAGGCAAGTGTGGGACCACCATTCACCACTATTTCAGCCCCCTTGCACCACTTTCTGCAGCAATGGGGCTGCGGGCAGAGCTGGACATGCCTGAAAAGCAGAACAACATGGACACAACGAGCAGAAAGCCCTCTTGTGATGGCATCTGATTGCTCTGCACCTTCCTTGCAGGCTTTGCTCTTCAAAGACAAAGCCATGCTCATGCATGCCAATGTCATCATCACCATGTGCATTTTTGGGACCTGGGGAAGTGCTACAAGGAGGTGGGGGCTCCTTGGAACCCACACTATTGGGAAGAGGAGGGGAGGTGCAGGCGAGGAAGATCCAGACAAGGTAAGAGTCCAGCAAAAATTCCTGACTGGTCCCATTGGCAGCACATTCCTCCCAGGCAAGTGCTGGGAAGGTGGAGGACCAGGTGCCGAAGAGGGCAACCTATGCAGCTCTGACATCCAACCTCCTACTGTCCAGCACCGCCATCTCATCCCTGGTTCCCTCCTGCTCCCCCTTCCCCGCTCTCCATGGTGCGAAGGAGCAAACCTCTATAACAAGCACAACCAGCATTGACTCAAACACAGCAGTGCTACCCAGAGGGCAGAGGACATCCCCGAGGGAGCCATGTTGCCAGGGGCCAAGTCCCGTGTCCTTTCATAGAGGTGCAGCTTGTCTTTGTTGGAGTGAAGCATCTTCACATCCTCAAAGGCATAGTAAGCAGCCAGCATGAAGTTAACATCCCCTGTGGTGAGGAGGTCGAAGACGCAGGACTGGAAGTAGAGGTCCTCCACGGGCAGCTTTTCCCTGCACTTGGCCGTGGCTGTTTCATACGTGAAGGCCTCGGGGGGGGCCTGCAGGCTGGGCCCCTTCCTCCGAGCACGGCCCTCTGTGGCCTGAGCCGAGCGGATGGTCTGGAAGTCAATCTGTTGGTTGAGCGGACAACCGCGGAGGCACAGGTAGAGGCCCTGACTGTCCCGGTCCTCCACTGCGTTGACCACCTCCTCTGGCATGCGCACGGCGAAGGTGAGGTACCGGCCCACCTGCCTCACCACGATGGTGGTGCCGATGTACTTTGCCTGGATCTCAATGTGTTGGCCCGACACCTTCTCAGTGATCTTCAGGCTGTTGGCTCCGTGCTTATCCCCACCGTTCTTGGAGCCATCAGCAAAGGCAGCGGGCAGCTCGTCCATCTCTGCCTGATACACTTTCTGGTCCACACACTCCTGGAAGCTCTTGAAGATGATGGTGAGCTGTTGGGAGGGAAAGAAAGGAACAGGGTTACAACCAGTGATGACCACCTGAGAGCGTACAGCCACCACCAGAAGCATCAGCATGGGAGGTGGAGAAGCTGTCTGCTCAGCCTCGCCAAGAGCATGGCCTTCAGCTCATGGGCAAATTCATGACTAAGAAGTTGCCCTAACTTTCAGGCTCCCAGACATGGCCATCCTGCTTTAGCACATGGATGAGGACACCGTGTGTGGAGTCAAGAGCCAGAGGCTGGACTGAACGTACCACCAGGATCTGCGCTGTTATCTCCAGCCCCAACCCAGGAGCTCTCCTGTAGCTGGGTGCAGTATCACTACTCACAGCCTGGGTGACATGCCTGTGCATGCAGCACTGTCTTGCCTCCAGGGCCTGGCAGATGGCAGAAGGAATGAGCCCTGACTCTCTCAGAGGTGGTGCAGCTTCTCCTCTGACTCCCATGGCATTTACATCCCAAAGGCTGGACCTCTTCCCTTCCCTGGCTACTTGCTAAACAACCGTCTTCTTCTCTGGGTCCCAGAACACGCTGTGTTCCACCTCAACCACGCAGACGCACATGTTCAAGTGGGCAGGTCCTTCTAGGAGTGATATGGACATAGACTGAGCCCAATGGGCCTCCCCACCTTGGCTGGGCTCAAACACAGGTTCCTTGCTGGACGAAGGGCCTCCCAGTGCTTGTTCTTCCCTTGCTGACCTGGCTTTGGGAAGAAAGCTTGAGGAGGAGGAAGAAGAGTAGAGCTTGCTTGGGAGGAAGAGCAAGTTGCTTGCCTTCCCAGGCAAACCACGCTTCCTCTTTCACCCCTTGCAGACTTGCTCTTCCTTTTGCACCTCTCTCCATGAGGGTAGCCATAAGGGAGCCCTTGCTTCATGTGCCCCATGAAGGGGCAGAATGAGGCCTGGACAGAGCTGGAGGACAGACAACTCCAGCAGTGACCTCCTCTGGTTCCAGCCCTGCCTGTGGCTGCAGGAAGAAGTGTAGACCAGAGAACATCACGCAACAACATAAAGGACCCTATGGACCGAGAAGCTCGCATCCTTTCCAACAGCACATGTTCCTCTAGCAGTGACCCAGCAATGCTTTCACAGCTCATGCTGCAGATCTCATGACTAATCCCTCCTCACCACAAGCCCGTGAGGCAGATAACGGGTGAAAAGGCTCAATTAAGATGGTGATCCCAGGAACCAGCCTAGGAATTGCACATCCCTGGGGTCAAGGACCATGCTCCTCAAGCCAGACTTCCTTGCAAGATTCAGCAAGTTTTGATGTCTTTTGGTACGTAAGGAATTGAGAGCATCATTCAGTATCTTTAAGGAGTTTTATAAGGGACAGCTCAAAACCAAAATGCCAGCTCAGGCTAAAAAGGTCACATTCAGAGCTGAGAAACAGCCCCTGTCCTACATGTGCTTCTCTCTTCTTCCCACACGCAGGGAAAAACAGAACTCCCAGACATGGTGGGACAAGACATCTTCCAAAACCAAGGGATGCCTCCTGCTGACACTCCTTTTTTGGCACAAAAAGTGGCCTTTTAGCTTTAGAGCTTGTGCACCACGGAGCAACGTGACTGTTCATCAGCTCCAGGCCTCTCCTGAAGCTGAGGCTGTGCCACACAAATCCTGCTGTATCACAGCAGCACGTTTTCACCTGGGCTTTCTCAGTGTTTGCCTTAGACCTTCAGGATGTTTATTCAGGCTGCCAAAGCACCTCCAGAACAGACTGTGCCCCACAAAATACCTGGACTTAGCTGCGCACCACAGAGACAATTACGAGCTGGGGCAGAGGGAAGGCAACGAGAACTCAGCTCCCTACAGGCTTCTCCCTGCAAACTGGTGTCTCCGTGGAGGACAGCCCTGGGTTTGCTTGGACCTTGGGTGTCCTCAAGGTGCCACTGTCATTCCCGGTCCGGCTCTTCACAGCAACCTGGAGTCTCCCATTTTGGCCATGATGGCCATCTGAGCTGCAGCATCTCCACCTGCTAGCCATGATGGGGTTGGATGTGCTCAGGAAGAAACCAGAAGCCATTAAAGGCAGGATGGGCACCTGGTACTTAGGGCCAAATGCTCAAATTCAGAGGAGCTCCCACCCGGTCACACCCTTCCCAAGAAGAACTGCAAATGGTGGAGAAGAGAGATGGTGGCAAGAAAGGCTGTTGAGAAGCACCTCTGCCCGTGCCCACCTCTGCTCATGGAGACATGCCCAAGGCTCACCTTGCTGGTGGCGGTGGCCGAGGACCCAGGCAGCACCGGCGTGTTGGTGACCTGGACGTTCAGGTAGTTATTGTCTATAAGCGGCCAAGCCCCTTGCACCTTGCAGGTCTGGAAAGTGTCTGTGAAAGTCCTGAGGTGGGGATCCCCGAAGAGCCCACAGTGGGTATAGTTGGGGGCAGCCGAGTGTCTGTGAAAGCTCTTCTCGTAGTGGCAGATCTCGGGGCTGTCGGAGCGTTCCTGGCTATCCCCAGGAGGCAATGTCCGGAGCCGGGGCTGTGAGGTGGGTCCATCCTTGGAGCA